AGAGTACTGAGACTGGATTTTGTTTTGGGGCCTTGGTTCACATGCGACCACATAGAGGAAGCTCGTTCATGCAAAAACCACCGAGTGAATAAGGCAGCACAAGTTCTTTTCCGCAGTGTTTAATAGCGTAGGAAAGTCCTCGGATATCAAAAAACGCTGGATTTCGCCTATTTCCGCATCTATTTTCTCCCAGTATCCTGATCTGAACGGAATTCAATTCTAGTAAACAGCATTTTGCGCCTCAAGTCAGCCCAATGAACTAAATAAACAACCTCAAATGTGTGTTAAATCCCCCAACCCCCTACCTTTCACCAGATATGTAATCTACTGTATGACATAGTTAGTAGCTTTGCTGTCTCACAAAAATGTTAACCGCAGTTTGAAAATATGTTTTCAACCCGGAAAGACTAGTTAAGCAGGATTTTTTATTAATTATCGCACAGTGTTAACGTCAGAATGCTGGCCGCCTGTAAAAAACTAAATTCTTAAAAAAAACTGCTTGAGTAGAACGAATATATCAACAGACTAGTTTAAAATTATTCGGCAACGGGAAAAGTCTTTTAACACGCTACGAGGTGAGTACAAAAATAGCTTTTCGTGCATACTGTTGATAAAAAAAAATATATTTGAATTTATCAGGGCATGGAAAAACAATGAGAGACAGTCATACTACCTTAAGTAGTCATTTTTACAGAGTGTGGATTTGGCGGACAATCAGAAGGAAGCTCGCCTAAATTTCGGCATCAAGACGTGCCTGGATTGAGCTATACAATAACGATTAATGTTAAAACCCTACTTAAGTAATCTTTTCGAAACGAAAAACAGAGTTCAGAATTTAGGTTAACATTTCCGGAAAGAGCAAATCGACTGTAGTAACAACGGAAAACAAGATGATGCAGGATTTAGGTTTAAGTGAATATTTGGTCAATCGGATTTACAGAAATCAGTTTCCGAATTGATCACGAACGTACTCAGGCAAAAAATCTTAGATCTTAATTACATTGAAAAGCACGCAAAATACGCACGATTTTTTATTCTTCCGCAAATACCAGTCACCCGAACCTTATTCCATCAACAATTCTAAAACTCCGTTGACCCAATTGTGAAAAATTCGCGGCCTCGGTGGCAGCCGAATCCACACAGCAGGGAAGGCTTTTACGCAGCTAACGCTCTACAATTGAGCTAAGAGGCTCATCGTGAGCCGTGAATTTAATCACACTTGAATCGATTTAACCCGCTCCTATGGAATCCACCGTTACGGAAGAGCAACCTGACTGCCCAGGCAGGATCTCCTAAGCAATCATCTAGAATCTATCAGAATCACTACTAGGCCATTTCGGTTCGAGTGCCATTGGGTCAACTGAATAAAGCACATCTGTTAAATTCCCCTAACAATTAAGTGAGCCTAGTAGTCAACAATTCTGAAACCGATGTTCTACAGGTTCCAAGGGGTGAGGATGGATAGGAAATTCATACGGAATTTTGGAAGTCTTTTAAGCTCACTTACCTCAGCTACGTGATCCAACCGAAAGAAGGGCTTCTTACGCACTGAGAAGGACTGGGTCGTAAAGTCCACAAAGCCATTGTGACCAGCATCATTCCTCGGCCGAACCACATACTTTTCAATGTAATTCAAACGGTTCTCAAAGGGCATACGACCACAGGGATAGCCCTGGATGGTCAGAGCATCGTAGATGAGGAATTTAAAGGGCCTGTCCGGTGTGTCAAAAGACACCAACTCCCCATCTAGCAGGCAGTTCACCAGATGGCAAGACGGCTCTGTCAGGAAGTCGCTCACGGGTCTACCCTCCTTGCGAGCCTGCAAAGCAGAG